GGGCTCTCCAAGGGCTCAAACACCTTGAACAAAAAGCTGCGCTCCTCGCCTGGACGCAGCCGGACCTGCAGGCCTTGGGGAGACACCTGGCTGCGGTGCAGGGTGGTGTCAATCTGGGTGTTCTGTGTCCAAGGGAGTGGAGCAGTTTATTAGAAGGTCCCTCTGGAGACCTGAGAGGGGCATCTCAGGCCTGCCACGGGGCACCATGGTCCTCAGAACCAGCCAGTCTTAGGCATGGAGAGCCCAGCCTGCCACCCCGCTCCAGGCACCTCGGTGATGTCAAGGCTGCTCTCCATGACCAGTATGCTCTCTCCCCGGCAGCCTGCGGCCAGAAGCTCCGCCTGGGTGTTGCAACGCCGCTCCTTGAACAGCTGGCCAGAAGCAGATGGACTCAGTGCAGGTGATGGCCAACCCCTGGCCAGCCCAATCCCGGGTGATTTCCTGCTGACACTTCTGACCCTGACCTCTTTCCCACACCCATCTGGTCTGGGGCTTGGCCGAGCGGGTGGAAAGAATGAAGCTGGTCAGAGCTGGTGCTGGGGTGTGGGGTAGCTCAGGCTGGCCCGGCAAGCCTAGCTGTAGTGGCTCACCTCATCTGTGCAGTAGGCACAGCTCTTGTCCACACGGATGCACTCGGTGCAGCTCTTCACCTGCGCCTTCTTGCAGCGGTTGGCTGGGGAGCAGAGGCACATGAAGGAGGGTCTCACTAGTGACCATCCTTCCCCAACTGTGCCTTCACCAGAGAGAAGTGTGGATTTTCTCTCCCAAACTTAGAGAGGACAAAATGGTTTATTCCACATAGCACAGTTAGGAATAACCAGAGCAGGGCCTGTAACCTGGAACTTTCTTCTCGAGTTGGGAGGATGGAGAGACAAAATGGAAGCGCAGGCTTTGCTGGGTGGCCCACCATGCCATTTAATCTTTCCTAGGTATGGCTAGCCTGCAGCCCTCGGGCTTGTACAGCTAGAGCTAACTATCAATGCAGACCAATACACAATAGTAGACTTGAGATTTTTTTTTCTGTTTTGGTAGCTTGATTGCCTAGTTCTCAAGCACAAACTTTGTAAATGATATCATGTCTCAACATCAAAAGGTTGGCTGTAATTGTTAGGCCCTACGAAAGCCCCCATCTGCCCTGTGACAAGCCATGTCCACCATTCCCTGCCCTTTGTCAGTCCCTCTTCATTATGGCTTGTTTTTCCTAGATTGTTGCCAGGGGACTGTTCTGTCCCCTGAACCTCCTCTAGGGAAGAGACTATCTGCTTTGGTCATCACAGGACCCTTGTGCCTAGCACAAGGCTGGGCACACAGCAGGTTCTCAGTAAGTGGATGGAAGCCCTCAGTCTACACAAAAGTTATTAGGTTTTTCCTTGGTTCTTCTTAGTTAGAATCACAATAAGGTTCAACTAGCTGCACCAGGGCACACAGTAGGGGCTCCCTTGGGCTCTAGGCCATGGCACTCTGGTCAGTGTTTAGCAATGGTTCTGATGAGGGAAGGGAAGCCCCAACTCTCTGTGGTTGTCAATTTATATGGTGTAAATATTCCCACCATATGAACATGACCTCAGTTGGCAGAAAAAAAACTTGGTGGGAGTCATTTTTCAACTGGGGACACTCAAGAGTAGTTGGTATGTTAAGAGTCTCCTTCCAGGATCCCCTAAAACTCATAGCTCTGCTACTTGAGGCCTCAGCTCTGACTCTCGGTGGGCAGCTTACCTCCCTTTCTAGCCCAGACACTATGCAGGGTCTACAGCTATCAGAGGGGAAGGGTGTGGACCCTCAGGTTCTCCAGCCTGAGTGAGGCACAGATGTCAGAGCTGAGTAGCTGACTTCTGCAGGGTTATGTCTCAAGAGCTGCCTAGAGGGGTGTCTGCGGGGATGTTTAGACTCACCCATGTTTCCAGGAAGACTGACACTCAACACGGCTGCCAGCAGTAGCTTCACCCATGGGCTGGAACATGGCCCTGCCATCCTCCTCTTCCTGCAAAACCACAACAATGGACACACGATGCCTCTAGAGCCGTGGTCCGCAGCATCGGCTCCCTGGATCCCCACCAGAGCTCCACAGGTCAATCTTGTTGTGTAAGTGTGGAAATGGAGGCTCAACCCCAGGCGTGGGGGATCATGTCTAGAATCTCAGCACATGGGAGATAGAAGAGATAGATAGATGGAGGCTGTCATGGGTTAAGTGGCCACAGGGGGCGCTCTGCTTGTGAATGACAGAGACAAGTAGTTTTATACCTGTCTTCTCTACTATCCCTTTTAAAAAAAAAAGATTTATTTATTTATTTTATGTATGAGTGCTCTATCTGCATGTACACCTTTATGTCAGAAGAGGGCATCAGATCCCAAATAGATGGTTGTGAGCCACCATGTGGTTGCTGGGAACTGAACTCAGGACCTGTGGAAGAGCAGCCAGTGCTCTTAACCACTGAGCCATCTCTCCAGCACCCACGACCCCTTTCTTGCCATGCCTGCAGTGACCACATATCCTGATTCGGCTGCCTTGCCTGAGGAAGACCTCTCCTGCCTTTGTGGACTCTGTGGGCTCTGAGACCCAGCCAGTACCAGGTATCTTGGAGCTGCTCTCAGGATGGTAGTGTGGGCTTTTATTCTGTCCTTGCCTGTCACTTCCCAGTGGGCAAAGATACAGTCTCTCAGTAAGTAGGCTTCCTTCCCAGGGGCACTGGATGTACCAGCTGCCCGACTCTGCACCAGCTGTCTTGCTCTTTGTGAGGGTGGTAGGACCAAGAGGAGAGGTCCTGGCGTGGCAGTGGTGCCGCCTGGTTCGACACTGCCTGCTGGTTCATCAGCGTGGCCTCTAAATGCCCTGCGTTTCCCCCAACTTCTGCCTATCTCAGAGTTGAGTTTTCAGGGCCCAGGGAAAGTTTAGAAGCCCCCGCTGTCCACTCTTTCATACACAGTAGCCTTTGGCTCACCATTAAACCACCTCGGTACATCAGCAGTGTTCAGTGTCAGGCCTTTGGGCCGCCCAAAGAGTATAAGGAAAGAGGCCGACCCCAGAGCCACCAGGGCCTGCATAGAGGAGGGTAAAGGCCAGGGTCACACCTCTTTTTCTGGGGCCAAAACTCCTAGGGGCCCAGACAAGGCCACATCCACTGACCCTCCTCCTTGGAACCTTTCTTAGCAACCTCAGTTTGTTAGAGCAGGGTGAGCCCCAGGGTCTGGGAGGCTGAGGCCTTCCATTTAGAAAAGAAAGCAGGATGCCCTGTCCCGTGAACCCAGTGTGTGGTCTCCGGGGAGGCAGACAGCAGCCCCAGCATATCCACAGGCAGAACCAGCATAGAGAAGCCACCCCGACAGGGCAGTGGCTGGAAGGGAGCCCTGAATCAGCAGAGGGGCGGCTCCTGGGAAGAATGAGTTTCTTGCAGCCTTAGGCATAGGTACCACACCCACATGCTACACAATGCAGGCTGCAGATTTGGCCTCCCTGCGGGCACCATTACCTAGGCACGAATGGGCATTAGAGGGACAATCCCAGCCCTTTTCACAGGCCCAGCACATAGAGCTGTCACCAGCAACCAAGACAGCAACACTTCAGCGCAGATACCAAAGCATCTGCACAGGACCCCAGAGGGAGAGGCTTTAGGACAGGAGGCTGTGGGCCTTCTACATCCAGCAATCAGTACTGGGAGGGTCTGGTGGGATTTGGGAACAGCACAGATTCCATACTAAACCTACACACACACACACACACACACACACACACACACACTATAAAATGGCAATTAAGGGCCCAGGCAGACACTCTGCTTTCTTCGACTCAGCTTGTATTTAAGAAGTTCTAAAAGTAGTGACCTATTATAGAAACGACACCACTACACACAAAGGTTAGGATTGTGGATGTCATCAGAGTATGTGGCCTTAGCAGGCTGGGTGCGCAGACAGGACAACAGTTCTTGAAGCTGCCCTGTCACTCATTGGAAATCAGGGTTAAGGAGTCAAACACTTTCTCTCTCTCTCTCTCTCTCTCTCTCTCTCTCTCTCCACACACACACACACACACACACACACACACACACACACACACACACAGAGTCCCTAGAAGGACAGGAACCTAGAAGGTCTACCTGGGTGCAAGCCTGTGCTCAAGGTGTGGCCAGTCTGTTGGGGAGAAGGAAGAGGTCTGTCCTGACCCTTGGGAACCACCCGGAATCCCAGACCACAGTGACAGCCAGAAGGCTGCCACTAGAGACTGTCGGGAAGAATGCAGCGCAGGGGCGGGAGAAGAGCTTGCACCGCTACTGGGTAAGATTCTGAAAGTTCCTTGAGAAGGGGCACCTGGAGTGGGCTTTGGGAAGGGAGCAGGCTGGTGGCCTGCCATGAGGAAAATCAGGGACTCCCCACGCTTCCCTGTATGCTCTGAGTCACCACACACCGAGGGGAGGCAGACACCCAGGGGGCCGGTGAACCCCCAGCCTCTACCCACTCCTGTTGCACCTCTAGCAGGGGCATCTGATGGCCACCATCCTACCCCAGATCCCAGCCACCCCGCTCCCAGTTGCCCCCTGCTCACACCGTGGCAAGCCTGGCACCTGTCCTGGCAGCATGGGCAGAGGCAGCCAGGGCCTGCCAATCTTCAGGGAAGGAAAGACGAAACAAAAGCCAACTAGTTTCTCTACGCGGCCCCGGGAGGGAGTGGGTACTCCCTTTCCTCGCCAGCCCTGGCGACCCGGGGCATGGCGGCAGGCGGTGTGCCCCTTGGACGCCTGCTCCGGGCGCGAGCTGCACCTACCTTGGTGGGTGCCTGGACTGCGCTGGGTCGAGCTGAGCGCGCGGGCGAGCCCGGAGGGGCAGCAGGACGGGCGGCGGCGGGCGGGAGCCAGCAGTGCTTTATGGACGGGCGGCGCAGGTAAGAAGGAGGCGCTGGTGAGTCAGGCAGGCTGCATTCCTGCGCTCTGCGCGCACCTGTCGGGGCAGGAGCTGGGGTGTCGCCGCAGCCGCCAGACCCGCCCCCCGGAAAGGGCTGCGGCTCCCGCGGCGCCAGCCCCTAGCCCCGAGCTGCCGCGAGGAGGCTGGAGGAGGAGCCGCCCCTCTCTGCAGTTCGGACCCGGGCTCCCGTCTTCCCTACCCGTCCATGCTCCCGGATTGGGTGCCCCAGCCGCTCCGGGTCGCTGGGCGGCTTCTTAATACCCAGCTTCTGGGCAATGAGCCCAGCTGGGCCGATCCCGCTGCCTCGACGGCCATCGGGTCCTGCACCTCCCTCTCTGTGTCAGCCGAGGATGGGTCGAGCCCCAAACTGGTAGGGAGATTTAACACCTGGACGACTGGCCTGCGGGTCCTCTCAGCCGCTGCAATGTGGCTAGAGGAACCGACAGGCAAGGGTGGGGTCCTCTGGGTTTCTTCAGATACTCAAATCTCCCTAAAATGTAATAGTATAACATTTCAATCTAAAGGCCACGTGACCTAGCATGCAGTAGCACTCACAATGTTGGTGATAAGCTGATTGACAAGTCTTACTCTTGTTGCAGACTCTCAACCGCCCGCGGGCCGCTTCTGTTTAGTGAACCTATTGAGGTGCAGCAGATCCCAGCTACCCACCCCCCCACCCCCCGTCTCGTCTCACCTGCTAGCCATGCTCGGCAGGGCCTGGCACACCAATCAGTCCAGTCTCCAAATGGTGGAGGCTTCTAGCTCCCCAAGTGTCTGAACCGGGGCATGCCATCTTTAAACTCAGCCTGATTTGGCCTTACTCTTGGAGACCCTGGGCTAGTGTCACGAGATCTTAATATTTCCTTGACTCCCCCACACCCTCATACCTGGTTTATAGGTCCAAGAATATGGCCTTGTCTCACTCTATAGTCCAGGTTAGTCTTGAACTTGTGGCAATTCACCTGCCTCTACCCCGCAAGTGCTGGGATTACGGGCATTCACCATACCTGCTAGTCTATTGTTTCCCTTTGTTATGGTGTTTGGGGTAGAACCTAGGTCTTCATACCTGTCAAACATGTACCCTCTAGCGTAGGTTGTGGCTTCTTCATGGTGTTTGCTATACTGGTGAACTGTGAACCCTAAGGGCAGATGTGTTCTGCCCCCTGGGGTGACCCAAGTCAGGAGACATGGGGAGGACAATGCCCAGGTCTGGCTATAGATAAGGGTGCTTTTCCCACAGCCTCAGCCCTGATGCCTGGCTCATACCAAGAACACGATAAACAGTGTAGGTGGTCAAGATGGCTTAATTGGCCAAGGGGCTTGCTGCCAACCCTAACGACCCGTTTAATCCCTGGTAGAGCTCACTCTCCCAAATCCTCTATGGTGTATACGTCCACGCCACCCTTCCAAATAAACGAATGTAAAATATGGTGGCGTAGGCCTTTGATTCCAGCCCTCAGGAAGCAGAGGCAGGTGGATCTCTGTGAGTTCAAGGCCAACCTGGTCTACATAGAGTGTTTCAGACTAGCCAGAGCTACACAGACCCTGCCTCAAAAATAATACTAATAAAAATAAACCTTAAGAACACAGATAGCCTTCCTGAGTAATCCCCCTTCTCCCACCACACACTGGAGATTAAATATTAGGCCTCATCTATAAATGGATCCATGTATTACTAACCCTAAGCACTCACTGCGAATTCAGGAGCCACGGCCACCACCAGGCAGCCCTGCCTGGTCATCTGAGCTGTTCTGCACCTGGCCAGGGCCTCAGAGAGGCTAGACTGCAGGGACACTGGGGAAGGAGCTTGGTGTGTTTTCAGCACTCAGGTGTATGTGCCAGACCAGGTCAATGCTTTGTGGACATCGGCCACTCCAACAGGCACCCAGGCCACTCTGGAAAACAAGACCTCTGCGTGTTAATTAAAAAAAAATTTAGCCGGGCGGTGGTGGCACACGCCTTTAATCCCAGTACTCAGGAGGCAGAGGCAGGTGGATCTTTGTGAGTTTGAGACCAGCCTGGTCTACAAGAGCTAGTTCCAGGACAGGCTCCAATGCTACGGAGAAACCCTGTCTTTAAAAACAAAACAAAACAAAACAAAACAAAAAAAAAAAGGAAGAAGGAAAAAGGTGGTTTTTTTTTTAAATAAATAAATAAATAATAAGCCAATGCTATTTTCTCCAGGGGCCACTGGCCACTGTTTATAGACCTCTAGCATGATGGTAAGATCCAAGTATTCATGTATATATATACATACAATATATACGTATGTGTGTGTATATATGTGTATGTGTAAATATGTATATGTGTGTATATATCCAAGTTATAAGTGTGAGTCCTGTACACAGGTGGAAGTCAGGGGACAGCCTTCAGGAGTTGGCTCTCACCTGCCACCCTATTGAAGCAGGATCTCTTCTTTCTGCTGCTGTGCTGGATACTCCAGACTGGCTGGTCCCCAGTTTTGGGACCATTCTGCTGCCTCTACCTCACCATAGGAGTACTGGGAATACAGATAACAGGCCACTTGTTTACGCCTTTATGTGAGCTCTGAGATCAAACTCGAATCATCAAGATGGTGCATCTTTTTTGTTTGTTGTTTTTCAAGACAGGGTTTCTCAGTAGCTTTGGTGCCCATCCTAGAACGCCCTGTGTAGACCAGGCTGGCCTCGAACTCACAGAGATCCGCCTGTCTCTTCCCCTTGAGTGCTGGGATTAAAGGTGTGCGCCACCGCCTGGCGATGGATGATGCAGCTTTTATTTTACTCAATGAACCATCTCTCATCTCCTACATGCTAATTAAAAAAACCTTTTATTAGTGTGTGTGCACACGTGCATGCATGTGAGGCCACGACGAACATGTGGAGGTCAAGAGGACAACTTTGTGGAGTTAGTTCTCTCCTCTGTCTTTCTGTGGGTTCCTGGGATCAAACTCAGGGGAATGTAAGAGCATTACAGCTGTCGGAAGCAGAGACTACACGGCAAGTTCGAGGCTACTCTGGGTCACTCTGCAGAGCCTGGCTCACATAAACGAATAAATGAATGACTGAGGGTGTTGCACTTACCTAGACTGCATAAAGTCCTAGGCTCAGTCCCTAGCAACCGCCCCCACCCTGTGAAGTAAAACTTCAGTCACTAGTTCACTTGCTTGTTTAGTTTACACGTGTTTAACGGGCTCCAGCCTGAGTGAGCACCACGGGCTGTGCTGACAATTCTCCAGGGGTATGCTGGATTGTATTATGACATCGATCCCCAGACTCCATGAAATGCAGGGTGAGGGTGGCCCTCCTCTAATTCAGGCCTCTGAAGGTGGAGGGGGGTGGATCCCCAGAACCAGCTGTCTAGCAAGTTTAGCCACCAAGGAGCCCTGGGTTTGACTGAGAGACCCTGCCTCGATGAGTGATTCGGTGGATGAGCGGTGGAGGATGATTCCTGACATCAGCTTCTAGGTGCCTGTGCACCCACATGCACGTCAACCCATGCGCGTGTGTGGACACACACACACACACACACACACACACGTGTAAAAACATGCTGAAGGAGGGGCTGGAGACTCGGCTCAGCAGTTAAGAGCATTGGCTGCTCTTCCAGAGGTCCTGAGTTCGATTCCCAGCACCTTCTTCTGCCCTGCGGGCATACCTGCAGGTGGAGAACACTGTATTTACATAACAAGTAAAATATCTTTTGCCAGGTGGTGGTGGCATAAGCCTTTAATCCCAGCACTCCCGAGGCAGAGGCAGGTGGATCTCTGTGAGTTCGAGGCTCTGTTCTATGAGAGCTAGTTCCAGCACAGCTAGGACTGTTACACAGGAAAACCCTGTCTCGAAAAACCAAAAAAAAAAAAAAAAAATTTTGAAGGATGAAAAATATTTTATTTTTACCATTTGTCTTCAAAAGTATGTTTTTGCTACATTGCTATATGTTCGTGTGCTTTTTTTATTCTATATGTTTATGTGTGTGTGTTTTAAAATCTCTTTGTGTTTGTATGTGTGCCCTCATATGTGGAGGTCAGAAGTCAGCCTCAGGTCTTGGCTTTGCCTTCTGCCTTGGGACAGTTTCTTCTTGTTTGCCACCGTGTACGCCAGGCTAGCTGGCCTGGGCGCTTCTGAGATTTCTCATGTCTCTGCCTCTTATCTCAATCTGGAAGTGCTGGGATTACAGGGACCAATAAGTTTGTCGTGCAGGGGATTTGAACTCAGGTCCTCATGTGGCAGGCACCTTACCGGCATAGGGAGCATTCCCCCTCCCCCGCCCCGGGCTCTGTGTTTGTTTGTTTTTCATTTGTATTTACAATTGTACTTATCTTAATATTTTATTCCTCTAGACTCCAGCGTGATCTGAGAACACCCCAGTACCACGTCTCAAAGACTCTATTAAGTAAACCGTGACTCAGTTCATGTTTACATTTCTTAACTGCCCAGACGTGTCTATCACCATGGCTTCCTTTCGAATCCAAGTCCGATTCCAGTCACCAGCACCATCCGACTAGGTCTCCTCCCTAATCTAGCAGTTTTTCTTTCTCCACAGCGATTTTTCTTCAGGATGAGTCTTCTTTGCCCAGTGGGTAACATGCTTGCTGTTCAAGCATGAGAAACATCACTCATATAAAAGCTGGGGGTGGTGGCAGAGTCCCGTAACCTGGGGGGAGGGGGCAGGCAGGTGACTAGCCAGTGTCGCTGGGAGGGAGAGCTCTAGGCTCAGTAAAGATAAATACAAAGTGGAGAGCCGCTAGACGGCTCTGTGGACAAAGGTGCCCACTGACCTGAGTTCAATCCCGGAACTCACATAAAGGTGGGTGGAAGGAGACCCACTCCATAAGTCACCTTTGGTCTCCACGTGTGCCATGGTATGTGTGTGTATGCACACAGATAATAAACAGTAAGGTGGGCCATAGTGGTGGCACACACCTTTGATCCCAGCCCTTAGGAGGCAGAGGCATGTAGATCTCTGTGAGGTCAAGGACCCCTTGTCTACATAGTGAGTTCCAGGCCAGTTGGGGCTGTACAGCCTTGTCTCAAAACAAAACAACAAACGAAACAAAAAAAGAAAATAAAAGTGTGATCAGTAGTTAAGTGCACGTGTTGCTCTTGCAGAGGACCCTGGTTTGGTTCTCAGCGCTTACAGTGGCTCCCATCATCCCTAACTCCAGTTCCAGGGGACCAGATGCCCTCTTCTGACCTCAGCCACCAGGCACGCATGCGGCACACACACATGCAGGTAAAACACTCACACAGAAAATAAAAGTTTACAAAAAGGCATCTGATGATCTGATGCCAAGCTTTGGTCTTCACACAGGTACAAGTATGTGCCAACCCTGCAAACATGCGCGCGCACACACACAGGGTAAGGGAAAACACACATTTACAGAACTACATGTCAACGTGGTCAGATCACTGCAGAGGGAATTCCCAGCATGACTACACTTGTGTGTGAGCACCCAGGCAATCCCTGCTCAGACAGACGCCTTTATCCTTCTCTCCCTGGTCATTTCCTGCTATGAATGAACACATCTAGCGTCCGACTCCTGGAGCAGAGAGCCCCTTCCTCGACCACCACAAAGATGACTGACTGATTCTTTGGGTTTCCTGGCAGCCCCTCCATCAATGAATCTGGAATCGGGTGAGCTATTTACCTCTTCTTTTCTTCGTCTCTTGGAAAAACGTATGTCAAGTTTCAAAAAGCAAAACCACAAATTCTGATCTTCCCCAGAGGAAATGTTATTAAAGATAATCCCCATGGGGACCAACTCCAACCCTTGTCTGAGACGCACCCCAGCTTCCCCTCTGGTTCTCTACTTCAAAATGACGAAGCAGCCAGGCCTGCTTCCTCCACACTGACCTTTAAGGAGGCGTCTGTTGTCTGGGGAAGCCCAGCTTTCTGGATTGATCTGATTGTTTTTTCTTCATGTGTAGGGATTAGTGCTTTAGGACTTGAGGGAGGTGGCTCTCTCTGTCCACCACACGGGTCCTGGAGATTGAACTTCGGTCACCAAGCTTTCTGGCAAGCACCCTTACCAGCTGAACTATAACCTTTATTGATATTTATTTATTTGGTCTTTTGAGACAGAGTTTCTCTACCTAGACCAGGCTGGCCTTGAACTCAGATTCTCCCGCCACTGCCTCCCAGTGCTCAGATTAAAGGCATGTGCCAACACTGCCTGGCCACACTTTATTTTTTTTTATATTTATTTTTTATTTTTGGTTTTTCAAGACAGGGTTTGTCTGTAGCTTTGGAGCCTGTCCTGGAACTCGCTCTGTAGACCAGGCTGGCCTCGAACTCAGAGATCCGCCTGCCTCCACTTCCCAAGTTCCTAAGTGCTGGATTAAAGGCGTGTGCCATCACCACCCGGCTCATACTTTTTTTTTTTTTTAAATATCATTACAGGGGCCAGGAGAGAGGACTCATTAGTTCAGAGCACTCTGGTTGCTCTCGCAGAGGACTGGGGTTCACTTCTCAGCATCTACATGACCGCTCACAATCACCTTTAAGTCCAGCTCCACAGGACCCGATGCCTCTTCTGGCCTTCATGGGAAAATGGACCCTCGTGGAGCAGACATACATATAGGCAAAATATCCTTACATATAATAAAACAAACGACTACACACAGACTTCTACAATCCACTGCGGCAGTACTTCCTTCCAAAGGGGTTTGTGGAGTCTGAGCTGGCTTTGCAAAATGCCTTAAACAAGAGGCAAAAAAGCAAAGTTGCAATGGTGTCAACTAGGCCGGGGAGTTGGCCACATCCCCATCAAGGGCTACTTTTAGACAGGGTCTCATGTAGCCGTTGCTAGCCTTCCACTCCTGCCTCTGCTTCCTAGTGCTGGGATTATAGGCACGTGCCACCACCCTAGCTTATATATGTGACAGAGGGGATTGGACCCAGGCTTCCCCCAAATACCAAGGGAGCTACAGTCCTAAACTCTATCACTTGAAAGGGTTCACTGCATCTCTCTGAGCTGCCCACCTCAGACCTGGGTGTCCCGTGCCAATGAGGGCACCATATGCCAGAGGCTGCAGGGCAGGCCTTTCCAGGTGCTCTTGGGAGGGCCGGCAGCAGGCACCCCCCCCCCCAATGGTTGCAGAGTGTCTTCAAGGAGAGAAAGGGATGAGTGTGACTCCGTTTTTATTTTAGGGATCGCACAGGCAGTTTGTCAGTCCTTGGATCACAAAACAAACACCAGCCACACACTCAGCAGCACCTTCCTTGGTCTGTTGGTCCCTTCACAGCCTGGTTTCCTCCTCCGACACTCAGCCTTTCCGCTGTGTGGGAAGGAGAGCTGCCAGGGGGCATGAGAGGCAAGCATTCCCCTCTGGCATCTTGGGCTGATGAACCTGTTTGGGTCCTAAGAGTGGCGACTGGTGCTACCCAGGGGCTGCTGCTGGGCAGAGATAACGACAGAGGAAGGGTGGGGTGGCAGAAACCTTCCCAAGAGCAGGCTTTCACATAAACAATGAGCTGCCGCCAGAGCCAGAGCAGGAGGTGATTCATCACCACCACTGCGTGGATCCTGCTGGCCACACTCACTGGCACTGAGGGACTGGAGTGGCCTTGGCCAGGTGCCCACACCTTGCTCCTGCCCTGGGCAGGTTGGGAGTCACATCCCAGCCCTCTGTTAACTGGCCTGATTTCAAAAGCCTGGGTGTGTATTAGAAGCAATGTGGGGAGCGCTTAACTGCACCCATGGGAGCAGAGGCCTCTGCTATTGCCTGAGAATTGTTGAGATCTGGTTTCCGGGTCAGGAAAGCAGAAATCAGGAAGGAGCCTGTGTCTGCCCCCACCTGCTCACGCCCCTGGGCACACGCTGGGAATGACCACAGTAACTCCCTGGGCCACCCCTCTGAGACTCTCAGTTTCTGTCATGCCATGGTTCACCCTGAGCAATAATCCTGACTGAGACGGAGGGGCACTCGTTTGCCTGAACACAGCATGGGAGAGGCCAGTGCACCTGGCGTGCAGGGACCTAAGAATGCAGTACTTTCAATAGGGTGAGACCCCAAGAGGTCTATGGACAGACTGTCCGATGCACCCCACTGCCTCTGCTGCAATGTCCTTCCGGCTGGAATGTCACGTAAAGGCTCCTTTTGGAAGGCACGTGGAGAGCACATCTTAGTCCTGAAACAGAGTGGCACCTCCCAGTGGGCAGCAGTCACTGGGCAGCACAGTCCTGCCAAATCCTGGGGGTGCCCTCTGGTCACTGCTTGGCCTTCTTCACAATGGTGCCCACAGCAGAAATGACGGTGGTCTTGGAGCCGCTGGCACTGGTGGTGACAGTGACCACTGCTGGCAGCGTGGCTGTGGTGGTGAGGATGGTGGGCTGGGCTATGGCTGTCACGGGAATGGCAGAATCCCACTTGCTCTTTCTCTTCTGGGCATCTTGAGGCAACAAGAGAGAAATGGAGCTCAAAACCAATCAGAACAGGACCCCAAAGGCAGGACCCCTTTACTACCAGCTCAGAGGCTTAGGACAGAAACAGGAGTCCCTGGTGCAGAAACCCAGAGAGGAGCCAGGAATCTGGAACCTACTCCAGGATCCAGGACTTGCTATGCTCTCATCCAGGAGAACATAGCAAGGCCGAGCCTGGGCACAGACCTTTTCAGGCAAACCCAGGAAGCCCCTGCTCTATCTGGTGTCCCTGAGGCAGTGCTGGGACTGGACGAGCGGCCTCTACCTGCAACAGCTGTACTGGCCGTGGTGGTGGTGGTGGCCGTGGCATTGGTTGTGGTGCCTTTCTTGGTGCCCGTGACAAACTCAATCTGGAGAGAGAGAGGACAGTGAGACCAGCGCAGAGCGGTGTGTCCATTCCCTGTGCCGTCCGCCTGCTCCCAGCGGACAGGAGTTTGGCACTTACACAAAAGAGGCCCTGAAAACCACCTTGGCTAGGAGCACCTGGGGGAGGGAAAGGGGCTTTCATCACTCTTCCAAGACCTTCCCTGACAGACCTGGGTCCCGCCAGCATCACAGGTCATTGCACATGCCTGCACTACTCCCCCCAGGTCCCTCCTCCTCACACCACCGCGGAAGTGGTGTCTTCCGCACAGGGGAAGGACAGCTGTGGTCCCCAGGCGCTGCAGACATGTCCCTGCAGTACGCCTGGGGTTTGGAGAGGAGAGGGAAAGAGAAAGAAGGGAGATTCACTCAAGGGTTAAGAATGAGAATGTAGTTTATCCTCTCACACCAGCGCCCACATTCCTGGTCTGCCAACAACGACCTCGGGGGCGGGCAGCAGTGCACAAGGCCTTGCAGTCCCTCAGTCTGGAGGGAAAGGGAGCATCCTGTGGCCATGGTTGCATGGTTGTGACACGGCAGCAGGAGCTGGTGTCCTGACGAAGTTATCCGCCATGGACCCTGTCATACGGTACAGCATAGAGGACTCCATTTTGATCTTGGAGTTAATCTGATACTTCTGAAGAACCCAGATCACACTGCCACAGAAGTGGTGCCTGGTGTCCAAAATGATGGCTATGTGGCTATCAGACATGAGATCCACAGGGAGGCAACAAGCTGGCTGCTGAGATCAGCTCTGCAGGCCAAGAAACGCAGCAGCGGGAGCAAGTCTCGGTCCCGCTCTCTGAGGAGGAGTACCAACTTCTAACCAGGTCAGGGGGCATCAATGACCCACAAGAGACAAAGCCACCAGGGCTCTGCAATGGGGACAAAAAGGAGCAGGATGGGAACAAAGCAGTGGAGGCTTGTGTAAGCCAAGTCAGGTGACAGGGGACCCCAGTCTGCTGGCGGAAAGGGCATGGCCGATGCCGCTCAAAGCCTCACAGGCAATGAAGAGGACAGTGGAAGGGAGCCCTAGGGCTTCTGACCCAGACTCAGCCAGCAGGACCTGCACGCTCCGCACACCCGCCTCCACCCCAGCAGGTCAGAACTTACTTTGGTTCGCTCCTTCTTGGCCTTTTCCAATTTGTCCATTTCAATCTTCTGGGCCTTGGCTGTGGAGATAAGACACAGGCTGTTATGAGCAGCGTGTGGTTGCGGGAGGTCTCTGGCCTAGAGGGCTGCATAGATTCAGCATTCTGCACTTGGCAGGATGAAGTGCTAGGCTTGGTCAGCACAGAATGTGGGCCTTGACCAAGGATCTGGGGGCTGCACATCTGGCTGGGAAGGGTCAGCTGATCCTGAGGGAGTATCTTCCAACTCATTAAGAAACATGAGATACAGAATTTTATTGCAATAAAAACACTGTTAACTTGGGGGGCTGGAGAGATGGTTCAGCAGTTAAGAGCACTGACTGTTCTTCCAGTGAAACCAAGTTCAATTCCCAGCACCCACATGGCAGCTCACAACTGTCTGTAACTCCAGGATCCAACACCCTCACACATACATACATACATACATACATACATACAGGCAAAACACCAATAAAATTAAAAAAAAAAGCCTCTGACTTGTAAATGGTGATTTACAGGCTCAGTTCTGTGTTGTGCTCATTGGCCTTAGAACATATACCTCCTCTGTACAGGGCATTCTGGCTCCCATGTATCACCAAACCTTAGCTCTAACAGTGTCCTCAACAGGGCCTCCCCTGTCCTTTGGCCAGGTCAAGCGACTTTGCCTGCCAAAGGCTCCCAGCTGTACGACTCTGCTCACATTGATTTAGTGGCAGCAGCGTGGGGACAACTGATCCAACCAGCTGTCATGGCTATGTTCAAGTATGGTTAGCAAGGGCAGAGTCAGTCTGGCCAAGGCGAAGTTGGGAGTTGTCCTGTGGACATGGCCTGGCATAGAGACCCTGAAATCTGGGTCACTAGATCACGGACTGGATGGGCAGGTGGAAGGGTATGTGGATGAGCAGATAAACAGGGTTAATTGAGGTTACCTAAGGCCTCATAGTAGGAGTCTTCAGACCAGCCATGGGGGTCAAACATATCCTGAAAAGAGAAGGCCAAGCTGCGGTCACAAAGGCCAGAGAGCACAGGGCCCAGAAATGGATCTTCCTAGGCTTGGCCCAGCCCTCATGAAAGCACAGGGCTTCAGCTGTCACCCTGACCACCAGACAGATAACCACCAAACTCTTAAGAAGTCAGGGAATGAGCACCTGCTCATATGGCGGCAGTCCTAGCCCTGGCTTCTAACTGGTTGGCACCCAGAGACCAAGCCCGCCCCTGGCATCTGCAGACCACCAGTACTGCCCTCCAGGGAGTCACACCCAGCCCAGCAAGCCCTACCACTCTGCAGCCCGTGTGTGTAGGACATACCTTTGGGTAGTTGGTGCCCAGCTCATCAATGGCACAGAACTGGATCAGTTTCTCATAGATGCTGGAAAGGGAACAGAACAATCAGTGAGCCGTGTCTGTATTGGCCCCACGGTCCTGGGTGGAACCAGAACCATCATCAGCTCCTGGAACTACGACAAACCTGAAACCCACCCCACATCTTCTAGTGCAGCCTCCTGATGGGAGGTCCGCCTTCTTGTCACTTCATGCCCTGCACCCTCCTCAAATGCACCGTGGCTGGGGGCCTGGATGAGGGGGTCAAGACAACAATGGCATGCTATGTCTGACGTAGATGCTTCTGGCCTTCAGTTAGCATGGCTGGGTTGGGGCCTCCAAACTCAGACCTACACAATGCCTAGCGTAGGTC